GATCAACCCAACACGAAACACTCCTAGGTATAATGGACAGAATAGGTGGATTAAACTCCAAGAAAGAGAAATCAAGATTAATGTGGATGCGGCTATTGGTCATGAAGGTGCATGCTTTGCAAAAATTGTGAGGGATGCAGAGGGGAATGTGTTGGAGGCTGATTTGCAATTTGATAAAGGAATAGATCCACTAATAGCAGAAGTTTTGGCAACAAAAAGGGCAGCTCTATGGGCACATACAAAACAGTGGAGCTTTGTCCATAATAGCGAATGACACATGTTTATAAGACCAACTCCAACGATACTATCTAAAATAGCTACTCAAAATATCTATATAATAAAGTAGCTTATAATTCAAATCTCAAAAGATAAACCAAATGACTTTTACTATTCGCAGTTGAGATCGCTTTAAATTTTATTTTAAAGTTAATCTAATGGCTAATATTAATACTCTAAATTTAATAGAAAAAATAGACTTTAAGGGTGTGTTTGGAATCACTTTTTAAAAGTAATTCTAGAAATTATTTCTCATAAATACTTTTTTTTTTAAAAATAGTGTTTGAAACTGCTCCATCACTACCTCTACCACCACCACCACCACCACTGCCACCACCATTATCGCCGCCACACCCATCATTGCCACCGCCACCGTCGTCACCCCCACCATCGCCACAACCACCACCCCCACCCCCACCGTTGCCACCGCCACAACCACCACTACTATCACCGCCACCACCACCACCCACCACCATTGTCGTCGCCGCCACTACCACCACCATCCTCGCCGCCACCACCGCAACCACGGTCATTGTTACCCACCACAATTATTACCGTCTCCTACCATCACTACTGTCGCCCACCATCTCTCACCCCTACTATAAACCGATGCTTAAATTCTTTCATCAATTCTCTATATTTGTGATTTAATTTTGAATATAAATACAAATATGTTTATTGTTTACCATTTTTTATTACTCTGTGCCTTTAGGCACATGTAATAACTAGTATTTAAATATTATATTATCTACTTTACCTAACCACTTTTTCAAATTATCTTCAACAACGCTATCTATTTTAGCTAACAACTTCAACTAACTGTAACTAACTATTAATTATTAAAATTTAAAATACTATGTAGTATGTCATGTTATCACCATATTGATGACATCACATGCTGACGTGTTACGCCATGTCATCAAAATTTAAAAATTTTGATTTTTATCAATAATGGTCATATTTACAACGGTCACAAAATTCAAAATTTTAAAATTTGAATTTTGTAACGGTCATATGAATGCAACATGAAAGAGATAAAGGAAACAGATATGCATGTGATGTACATCACTTAGGGTGTGTTTAGCAAAGGGGATAAAGTGGGATAAACCCAATTGGATTGGGTTTTCTTGTTCGGTGGCCCACATATCTTTGGTTTGGATCCATTTTTGTGAATGAGATATTCGTTGGGCTTAATTCCTCAGCTCGTAGTGTTTGAGGCCATTTATCCATTCTGATCCACTTAAATGTATCCCACTTGAACTTTGGGATAAGTAAGCCCAATGGCTGGATTGGGCGTATATTTACATTAATGCCCTTATACAGTAACGTTCTTACTCCTTTTTCTCTTCTTCATTTCACCTCATTGGTCCCCTCCTCTCGCAAGCGGCGCGCACTGGTCCCTCATTGGAAGGTATTTCTCTCTCTTTCTCTCTCAATCTCGATGTCACCGTCTCTATCTCTATATCTGTGTATATGTATATATCTCTCTATGTCTGTGTATATATATATATATATATATATCTCCGTCTCTCAGTTTGAATTGCACGTTATTGGTTCTGGGTATTTGAAATGGCGAGTTTTGAGATGTCCCAAATCGATTTAGAATGCGGTGATCACTACGGTGGAGCTACCAGCGATGAGGGTAGCCTCTGTTTCTCCGACGCGGATGAGCGTTCTTGTTATTCTTAGTTCTATTCCACAGTTGATGGCTCTTATGATGACTATAGTTTTGCTTGTGCCTCTGATTCTGAGATTGGCAAATCTAGGAAGGTTTCATCGGTGGCCGAATCTGATTGTTCGGTGAATGTTGAAAATGAGGTGTGCATTTGGGAAATCAGAGAGAGATTGTCGAATATGTCATATGAGTTTGGAGAGTACTGGTCCTGAGTTTGGGATTGCCATTGAATTGGGTTGTTCTTGTAAGGATAGCTTAGCAACAGCTCATAAGCATTGTGCTAATACTTGGTTCAAGATTAAGGGAAACAAGTGAGTAAAACAAAATCCCAATTTTTTCATGTTGTGCTCTCTAATTACTTGAAAGTTTTGGGTGAAGTTTAGTGTTTTGTGGTAAATTTTAGATACCCATTTGGTAACTCCCAGCATTATGCAAATCTTCACATCATGTGACTCAGTATAATCGCTCAGTCCATGGTCTATTTGTATATTCTCATTATCACTACAACTAGATATAGACACACAACACACACACACACACACCTGTATATTCTCATTAACACATAGTTGCATGTTATTAATTGTAGGAAGATATATTTGCTTCACAATACTATCTTGCATCATGTCCGAATTTTGAATATTTCGGTGTATCTGCAAGAAAGATGAAACAAGTTTAAGTTGAAAACATTCTTCTGGCTCACGAGCTAGTCCGTCACTTTCATAGAGACAAAGGAACTTCTAAGTTTTGCACCAAGTTAGATATTCGCAAGGCATACGACTTCGTTCCTTGGGATGCTGCCAGTGACAGTGTTGTGTCTTCACCATCGGTTAACTCTGCCTATGACGTTGATGTCATAGTGATCGATGATTGACTTTTTCTATCGATCGCTCTATCCTCAATTGTAATGTTAACTTATAATATTTATATGTATTAAAATATATGTGTATGTAGCACGTGGAAAGTATGTTGAACCATTGTTTTTATGCAACATACAATAGCGTGTGTGCATGTAACTTCAATGTAATATGTTCTATGTATAGTTGTCTACGTTTTGTATGTATACTTCAAGGCAACATGTGATTTGACCATATCGGTACGGGTACTTACATAATGTAAAATATGTTTATGTGACATTGAATCGTTTATTTCGTTGTTCTCAATTTTTTTTTTCAAAACAATGTGGAACAATGTTATGACATCGAATCGAATTATTTTCGGTATTTTTTCTTGGTGACATAGCTGTTACATTTTTTATTTTTTATGAAATATAAAGGTGGACAACATGAATAAAATTTCATAGCCAACATTGACTTTGGCTTGGATAGGATTAAAGGTTAAAATTGTCAATTTATGTGAAAGTAAAAAGATTGGACCCAAAAAAATAATGGTTTGTCTGCGGGTCCCATAATATAAAAAATTACTTTCCAAATGAGGGATAAGATTACACCACTTCATTGGTATCCTAGTTATTGGGATTTCATTGGATTTAATCCAAACCAATCCTATCCCCCAAAGCTTTGCCAAACACCCCTTTACAGCTTTACATAATGGTATTGATGAAAAATAAGCCCACATAAATCTCAGCAACAAATGGGTAAGTGCATTTTGGAAATACAGAGTTTCACACCTATTCATCATGTAAAATCACATCATTTTTTCTCAAAGAAAATCCCATTCTAGCAAGACCAGTATTTCTAAACTAACGACCCAGAATTTAGAGGATGGAACATTCAACATACCTAAAGCATTAATCTTTCTACCAATTTTAACAACTTCTCAAATCTATTTCTTACAGAATTACGATGGTTTGGTGGCATCCAAGGAAAGTTTTCTTTTGCAGTCTGACCCAAGTTTCATGCAAATCTTTCAGCACACCTTCGGCTCTCTATCGTGGTTTTTTTTTTTTGTGCCACAAATCTTATTTTTGTTTAGGAAAAACGTGACGGGTATAATTTTTATTTTATTATTTTTACAATAGCCAAAAAAATAATTATTTGTACCACAATTATAATTTTTTGTTTAGGAAAAACATAACAGCTATATTTTTTTATTTTATTATTTTCACAAGTAATAGACAAAAATACAATAAAAGTACATACTTTCTGTTGGGAAAAATGAAACTGCTGATGTGATGATTTGGTAGGCATCCGAGGAAATGTCAATCACCAAGCAAAAAAGCACTTTTTGGGTTCTAGGGTTTTTTAATTTATTCTATTACAGATTACAATTTTAAATATAGGTTTTATACCCATCAGAGATGATGGGGTAGCTTAATAAATTGAGAAAGAGAGATAAATAGGTCCAAATTTGGGGGTTTTGCTGAATTTTTGGGAGAGTTTTATTAGATTTTTGGAGGGTTTTGCTGAATTCCTTGAAAAACCCAAGCATCAGCTGGATTTTATCCTTTCAATTAGTAGTAGTAGTTATAGTATAGTTATTTTCTTTGATTTCAATTTCCTTTTCACTTGTATCTCATTTTCCACAAGCAAAAAAAAAAGACAAATAAGCACTTACCATTGTTTCAAATCTGACTATGTTTGTCATGTGTTTAGACTTTGAGAACTTCCGGATTTTTTGCAACTAGCCCTGCTGTGCTCAGGGTGACACCACCAGAAGGGTTTTACCAAAAGAAGTGATTACACATAAATTTGTAACTCAATTAGAGGGATAAGTGGTTGTATGGTGGTTACATAGGATTTTCCATGGGTGAGGTACCAAGTTTAAGACCTGAAGATCAACTTCATCCATTCCCCACCAATCAACAGAACATAATAGAGTAACTGAAGTGAACATCTTACAACAGAAACATTATCTTGCAGCCAAAAAGCAACAAACTAATTCAGTCCTCCAATGACAAAAATTCACCCAAATGACAAAAATTCACCCAAATGTTGCTGCAATTCTCCATGTCTACATGTTTTGCAACCAATAAAGCATCGTACACAGCTCACATAAAGTTAGCCACCTCAATTGATCGGGTAAAGCCAAGAAATATCAGCAAAGCCAATAATTTTGTTATGAACAATGAAAAATGGGCTTCAATGAAATGAGAGAGAGAGAGAGTGAGAGAGAGTTAAGTTGCATGAATTCTACCCAATGTCTGAGTCCTCTGACTGTTCCTCCTCAATTACTGTGATCCTCCGAACAATATCAGAAACTTGCGTTGATATGTGTTCTGTATGTTTCTCCAAATCTTTCAAGAGTATACTCAACTGTTCCTCATATGTGGCACACTGCCGTTTACATTTTTGCTTCTCATTGAAAAGCATAAGTGACAACTCTCGAATTCTTTTATCCTTCTCATCCTGCAAGAAGTTAACACAGGCCAATAAATAAGTTGAAACAGTGCTTCAAGAGAAAAGCAGTAGGTATACTATAAATGATGATACATGCACAATTTTAGTGAAATGACAATAAAAGAGAAGTCACTCTTATCGGAAAGAGAGAAATAGATCCATATATTATGATCCTTCCAATGTAAACGTAAGAGTAGATTGATTTTAATGCTAGCAAACAGAAATTAGACAAAAAAGGTGCTGGAAAGCAAAAATTTCAAGTTCAGCAATGGCATCTATCCAGGGATTGCAACTTGCAAGGCCACTGCATATGAGGTTTCGTCACCAGATCTGATAGAAGCCAACATGTTGCCTTGCGAGTAGGTTTGTCTTTGACCTCACCCCCTCCCTTTTCACCACACACAACAAAGAAGAGACACAGGAGAGAGAGAGAGAGAGAGAGAAAATAAATCTCTCTCTAGGGCAGAATATATATATATTTTTATTAATCAAGTCCCATGGATTGCTGGTCCCAAAATATTGGAAGGAGTGAGGCTGCTAAGGCAAAACAAATCTGATTGAATACATACTAATTTCTGTTAAGCTACACTACTCAATCAATCCATGAATTTGATTTAGACTATGCATTAGATATACTAAATGGAAAGATAGCATATAGCCTTAATAATATTTTCTCCAAGTTCTGTCTTTCTATATTCTTTTAGGAAACCAATTGACTCCCATTCAATTTATCTGAAAGTAAATTGTACATAAAATCTCAATATCAACTTTGATCCTAAGAAGAGCATTTGGATTTTTATTCTTCCAAATCTGCAGAAAAAATTGACTAAAAAATGGTGGTGATGTGTTGAACTGTATACACACATTGGTCTCAACGAGCGTTTGTGTGTTATATAGTTGAACTTTGTAAGATGAAAATTCGGTATCAGGTTCTAAAAGAGATAATCCTGCCTACCTCAATGGAATCTACTATTGGTCAGAAGGACAGGTTAATGGAACTGCTACTGCCAACATATTTTATTAGGTAGGAAGGAATAGGGCCTACCGGTTACTACCCATCAAAGTAAATCTCAATTAGTATGCAGTATTGCAGTCGAATAGATATTATTCAGATTATCGGTTAAAAGAATTCCACATCCAAAATGAGAACATTTCTCACAGCATTGACATGTAATAATTTATGAGCAGGTCAAATGCCAAAAAAAAAAACCGTCAATTAAAATCCTAATTCATGTTCCTGCACACATACAATTCATCAACATAATTTAAGTAAATAAATTCTCTCATCTTTATTTCGAGAATGAGGAGAGTACCATTACTCCTAAAATAGGCATCTTCCACACAGAAATCACTACTTTTGCAATAAAAAGGTCAATGAACACTAGATCATTCAAACCTTGAAGTCAAAACAAAAGCACAGCTTGTTAGGTATCTAGTTACAGAGCACAAAAAAAGCCAATACTAGTAGTCTACCACCAAAGTGTACATATTGCTTACGAAACCAGATGTCTACACAGTAAAGATACATTACACTTAGGTTTCCAAATAAAATGTGACAGGTGTAACAGGAGAGAAGCAAAAGTTATACAGGAAATGCAATGGGCGCTTATGAGGGTGCTCACTAGCCTTATTACATAGTCCTTCTTTGAATGGTATCAAAAGAAGTCATTCCAACAGCACTCCAATTAGCCATAACATGCTTCCAGTCGCACTCTTATCTGGTGGAAGAGTAAATTTTCTTCTCACTGCTTCATGCATATAGTGACAAATCCAATGCACAGCAAATATGTTCAAGTGACTTAAATGCATGTCTTTCATTAAACTCTCAAGAATTATCCATGGGACATGTGGCAATAAATGGATGTGGTGGTCCTCCTTGTAATTAGTATTACCATATATGTCAAAATATATACATAGATACATAACCAAATTGGTGTCGTGCCCAGGGATGGTGCTTTTTTTTCCTAATTCTAGTTTCCCTTTTTTGCATTTGTGTGTGCGTGTTAGTGGGGAGAGGGGGGGGGGGGGGGAAGTAGTAGTCTTTCCCAAGACTAGCCTATGCAGCTCACAGGAAGTTTGGGAAGTTTATGGAAGGCAGCAACCATGAAGCTTTCGAATATCTTTATCAAGGGAGATCATTTTATCGTTATGAGTTGTAAGCGTGCCGGCCAAAAATGGAGATTCTTTTGTTGCTGTGGCAATGTCAAACTTTTTCCTCACCTCCATTTTCCAATCAGCCAATCTAAAGCAACTTTTCTTGCAAAGACAAAAGCAGATACTGGGAAATTTTGAAGGTTATTGCCATCCTCCTTGAGTTGCTTCATGGTGTCTCCGGTCCATTTATTTCCAGTTTTGGGGATATTGCTCTCAAACTATATTTTTCTTTTGCTAATATTTTTACTTGGAATAATGCCACATCTAATCCAAATAATTTATTTTTTTTATTACGAAGGCTTTGTATTTAATCTAAAAGACCAGGGAGGGGAGGAAAGAGCAGCAATCAATATAATATTTTCCATAGACTCCAAGTAGGGCTGGTAAAGGAACTGGTAAGAAGGCTCTTGGACCTTTTGCAATTAGGCCTCAATCCACTTCCCATTCCATAGCATAGTGATGGTTCTTGCATGGCACTGATTTATTGGGCAAGGGGGAACTATGCAACTGGGTTGGACTAGTAACTATTTCAAACTGTGACACCAAGTAACAATCATATAAGCCTTTCGTTTAAAAGGGAAAGGATAAGCATCAGCACATCATCCTGCAGTGTAATGTGGGTACACAAGAAATCTTTTAACATACCTCACTTAGTAAATGCTTTCCAGATCCCCGCCAAGGAACTTTACTAGGGCTCATTAGTTTATGGCTGTGCTCTTTAATGAATTTGGTGACAACCCACTTTTCTCCGTCCCTTAGAGATAGCCTAATCATTGCCTGACATCCTTCTCTTGTAATTGGGGGCGGGGGAAGAACTCTATCTTTTCTGTACACATACTTCTTTGCACGGAAACCTTCTTTTGAACATACATAATCCTGACCAATAACCTGATTATTCACTCGAGAACGACGATTATGATGGACACGGACAGTGAAACCCGTATGCCTACCATATGCAACATAAAATTCTCTTGCTTCATCTCTCGTGTTAAACTCCATACCTATATGTGGTTCTGATGCTTCGGCATCCAAAAATACTTCAACAGATTCTTCTGCTATCTTGTCAGCTTCACTCACACATGAATCTATATTCTTTGGAAACTCATTCTCTATACTTTCATGTTCAACACAGCTTTCAGCTGGCATATCTAGGTCGCTTTCTTCTGATTCAAATCCATGACCAGATAAGTTCTCCATTAAGCTCCTACAACAACAGCAGAGAAGTCATACTTCATGGACATAAACTAAGTGCTAAAGGCAAAAACATAAGCACTTAATTTTACATCTAAAACAACCATTCTTATTATAATTTTTTCCCCATCCATTCTTTACTGACAATGGCATACTCTTGTGAGGTTTAAGATTCGCGCCTTTATAAAATGACAACCCAACTGATCCTCATAAGATCCTTTGGCTGCAAAATATTTTCTTGTTTCAAACAAACCTTCGGCTGCTAACACACTCAATCACCTAATGCATGAAAAACAAATGTCTAAGGAGAATAAACTATAACATCAACTAGAAGTCTAAAAACACTATAACAGCAATAAAATATGCTTGTAAACCAAAAATGAAACCATAAATTAATGTTCAGCATAGAAGAAGAAAATAAAAGAACTAATAAAAAAATAGAAGAATGTTAGTGAAAACATGATACCTTATATCCTATAGCAATGTACTAGGGTCTCAACGGCCTCTAATCTCCCATTCCTAGTGCTCTGTTCTATTCAACGTTGTAAACGCATTAGCTAATGTGGTACTCTTATCTTTAACTACATTTACTCTTCTCTAACCCTTGACCATCTTCTCTCACAATCTCTTCCACATGCCACTGTCTCTTCCCATCTCTCTTCCACTTGCCACTTCCTCTTCAAACATTTCATCTGCTCCTCCTGTTTTCCCGCTAACAATAATAGACAAATTAAATGGGTTGATGGACTGTGAAGGGTTTGGAGGCGTGGCTTGGGGTGGGGGTGGAGGATGTCTGGTAGGGTGGGTAGGGTTGTGGTAAGGGATGCTGGAGAGGGGAGCAGGGTGGGAGGGGTGTAAATTCACCAGTATGGCCCACAAATTCGAACCCACCCCAAACTATTACCTCCTCACCAATTTCATTGATCATAAAATTGAAACAGCAAAATTCAAGAGTAAAATTGAGAGCAAATGCACTAGGATTTGAGAAATTTTAACAAAAAAAAATTGCCATTTGGTTGTAAGGATGTGGGTATATATACATTGTTCAAAGTTTTTTTTTTCTCTCTCTTACAAGTGAATTGTGAATAGCCACATATCTAAAAGTGCTTAATCAAAACAACATTTTGCTGTTCTAGTAATAAAAATATAAACATAACATGAGTATAGAGAGAGAGAGAATGAGCAATGGGATTTGATACGCTTACCGGAAAGAAAACGGAGGGATCAAACAAACCGTCGGAGAGGTCAGTTTGAAAACCCAACGATGATCCGTCTCTTCAAGTGTCTTAATGGGAAGAGAGAATAAGAATCGAGAAGTGGAGGGCCCAACAGGAAGTTTGCTGGGGATCTGTACGGACGAGGGAAGACTAGAATTAGAAAGAAGACGAATTATTTAGGGTTTTTCAGTACACTAAAAAATTTCAAATTTTATATTTTATATTTTAAAAGATTAATTTTATTTTATTTTATTTTATTTTATTTTATAATCTAAATTAAATTTCTTATATTATACTCTTAATGTATCAAAAATATTATAATAAAGCCCTCTTATTAACTCTATTATTTTTTAAGTCAAAAATCAATCAATCAACACTAACGATATAGAAATCACATTATAATACTTTTGATATATTGAAAGTATAATATAAAAATTTTAATTTTAAGAGTATAAAGTGAAAATTTTAAATATTTTAGATACAAATTACAATTCATCCAATTATATACTCGTTATTAATTATTAAAAAAATAATTTTACTAAGTTAAAGTACTATTTAAAAAGAAGAGTTAAACCTAACAACTTCACTCCTAAAAGTAGAGTCAACAAGCCCTTTTTTAAAAAATATCTTAATTTAGTATATAAGTTCAAAAATATTATATTTTTGGTAATTTTGTCTCAAAATTATCGTAGATTGGTAAAAATAATTGCCGTTTTCCTCATGATTTTCTCATTCAAGTGGCAAGACCACACCAGGCCTCACATAACAATACTCTTCGATGCCATGGTACTGCACAAAAAGTCAAGAAAATATTGCATACCAGTAAACAAAACACCGTCACATGCTATTGTCATCAAACATACATGGGTTAATTGCTTTTTACCCTTACGTGGTTTCGTTTAAAAGTATCTTATCTACTTAACGTTTAAAATTATATACATTACCCTTTTATAGTTATGCACCAAAGTAAAACCGTTACTTTTATCATCTAACTTAGTGGAGAGTCTACTTCACACGCTCAAAATATATTGTGGACTTTGTTTTCATTGTTTCACTCCAAAAAATTATTATCTATTACTAAAATAGCTAGGGTCATTAAATGAGTAAGTTTCCATTCTCAGATTTAATTATCCATTAAATGAATAATTTGAAAGCAATGTGGTATCCTTTCCCAGATTTTTGTCTTGCTAAAGGGTCTTGATTTCCAAATCAGTCACATTTTAAGAGAAGCCAATGCAATGGCTGATATTTTGTCCAAGCAAGCTGCGCAGGTGGGATGAAATAAAATGCTGCGCAGATTTTTGTCCAAGCAAGCTGCGCAGATTTTTCTCCTTGTAAATAATTTTTGAGGAATGAAATAAAATGCTTGGTTTTAAAAAAAATAAAAAAAATTAGATTCAAGAACATTAACAGATGACCAAGTCTGCCATCAAAATTAGATTCAAGAACATCTAGTATTATAGATGAATTTGAAATTGTTAAGACATATGCTCTGTAATACTCAACTAAAAATAAGAAATAGTATTTGATTCAGCAATAAAAAATCCATGGACAATACTCCAAATCCATAATGTCAAAAGCAAATTTGATTCACAATAAGAAAAACAGTGTTGATTCAAAACCACATAACCATAGTGATTAACCACCAAAACCCAGTTGGGTATCCAAAATAGTTATAAGTTAGCCATGATTAAACATAAACAAAAAAGAACAAAATCAAATTTGTAGTCATTACGTGCTGCCGCCTTTTTTCCTCTGCCTTATTTTCTCCAATAGACTTGAAATAGTTGGTGCTACATCTCTTCCAGCTCTATTCCTAGGAGTTGCTGCTATTCCAACTTCATTCACCAGTAGTTGCACCTCCTCCTCCAACTCCAGCTCTATTCCCAGTAATTGTTGATCTTCCAGCTCCAACCCCAATAGTTACACCTCTTCTAGCTCCTGCTCCATTCCTAACAATTGTTCCTCTTCCAGCTACAGCTCCAACTCCAACTCCAGCCCCAGCCCCAGCCCCACCAATTGCATCTCTTTCTCTTCCTTTTTGAGTTGTATCTCTCCCAGATCCTGCCACAGTAGTTGCAGATGGACCTTCGACATTTGTAGCATGTGCATTAGATGAACTTGCTTGTGTTGACTGTAAGATGTTCACCAGAAAATGTTAATGGGACATTATATATTATTTAGATAGAAAAGACAAATGCTGTAAAAATGCAGGTTTACCTTAAACCTCTTTGGTTTTGGGTGAGGTGCATTCTTGCATGACCTGATATTGTGTCATTGTTTAAGGCATCTTCCACATGAAACTGGAATATTTTTTCTAGTTGCTTTGAAAGGATTCCTTGGCTCATTTTCATTTTTTATCCACTTTAGGGTCATAACCTCCTTGTATCACCCATTCCTTTAAAGCCTCTCTAAAGATTTGAGGGGAGGCAAATCTCATTCCAACCTTTAAGTCTGGTTTGTCCATGTCCCTTTCTTCATTAAAGTCAACATAAGGATCAATTTCTTCATCCGATTTGTTATCTTTACTCAATTTGTCCCATTCATCCTCAACATCAGAATACCATTGGTCAGTTTGAACATTAGCATTTTCATCATTTCCAATTTCTACATTTATAGCATCAACAGTTTCATTATGAGCATATGCAACTTCTACACTTTCATGCTCTGCAAATACAGTTTTGCATTTTGAGCATTTCGAACATTTCCAGATTCTGAAACCTCTTTTCTAGAATTTTCTCTTCCAGTGGCAGTTTCAAGCATATTCTCAGTCATATTTCCTTGAAGAATAGTAAGACCAATCCCTGAAGTACCAGTATCATTGAAAATGTCATCCTCTCCAAGCCTTTCTTAACCTTCATTCATCCAACTGGGATCCCCACTGTCATTTGCTTCTGTTGTAGGTTGGGCATTATTTGATTCTGCACATCCTTTTGACATTCTAGGTTCCACCGACATTTTTCCCCCCTGCAGAAATCACTTGAATAGGTTCTTGCCCTTTCTCCATATATACAACAATTACATCAAATCCTCTATATGCCATAAGCATATCCATGACTTCCTTGTCTGAATTAATAGCAATCAGACCATTGTCTAAGCTAAACCCAGGCAGTATGTACCACATGTTTATAGTATTAGGCTTATCTGAAGTTAAATCCTCATACATTCCTCTTAATTCAAACAATGACATCTTATCTGGATCACACACGTATATTGTGTTCATTTTACCCTTCTTGTAAACAACACTTGGCTGTCATTCAAAGTATCCACCATGATTTAACTCAATAGAAAAACAATTGTCCATTCTGCATGAGTAACAAACAAAAACCGAATAAAAATTAAATAGTAATAAACAACTCAAAAAAGAAAAGAACAGCATGCAACTAGGGAATAATAAACAAATAAGAACAATTTACCCCTAAAAAAACACAAGGACCCACATACAACTACAAAACATCAAAAAAAATCTTGTCTCAGAACAAGACAAACATTGAGTTGAAAATGATGCATATTGAAAAGAGTTAATTTTATCCAATACCCATGTATTTTAAACCATTCAATATCTCAGATTTGCGATGGAGATCTGTGATACACTAAAAAAATATTGTGATTCATGTTTTTCATGACCCATATTTGTAAAAACAAAAATTAACAAGCAGAATAATTTGAAGTCACTCAATATGTAAGCCAGAACTTTTTTGTTTACCTTTACCAAAGCTTGAGCAACCAATTGAATCCCTAGTATGATCGCGTACAAGGAAACAAGAAGCCCAGTTCCCACAAGGAAAACAAGAAGAATCAATCGAATTCCTGTGCGAAAGACGGTGGTCTAAAAGTGTGGTCTCAGATCTGTGATTTCATGCCTTTGTCTTTCCTTTTTTCTCACTTTCTCTTGCCCGTCTTACGTT